AACCAAGCTCCCGTCCTTGTAAGCCTTCATCTCCCCCCCTGAGCACCATCCAATTCGTACCCAGTTCCCTCTTTCCCCCCTTCTCAAATATGTGATGAAGCTCGAGCTCTCTCCTGTTGTTTCCCACCGACACACCCGTCGTCGAACCTGCCCTCCCCAGCAACCACCTCCTCCTCCCTGAACGAACGATCTAGACGAGAAGCTCACCTCAACTCTCACCACATCAGCCAGAAGAGAGCAAGCAATGGAGACCACCGATCCCGCAACCGGCGCGCCCCTCCCCGCCGACGCGATCCAGCGCATCCTCTTCCTCGCCTCCGGCGCCCACGTCTACAACATCCCGCCCCTGGCCTCCAACAAGGGCTACACGGCCGCCGGCTGGACCGAACGCCAGATCTTCACCGCCCGCCTGCGCATCCTCGAGACCGCCTGGGAGACCGCCGCCGCTGCCCAGCCCGTCCCCGTCGGCGCCACGGGCAGCGCCGTCATCCCCGTCGCCCCGGGCGCCCCCGCCGGCATCACCACCAAGGAGAACCACATCAAGGTCGACATCGTCCTCGAGGACCCCTCCAACGGCCAGCTCTTCGCCGCCGCCCCCTACACCTCCATTACCGTCGTTGAGCCCGTCCTCGACTCCTCCCGCTTCTTCGCCGTCCGCGTCCAGGACGGCCAGGGCCGCAAGGCCGTCCTCGGCATCGGCTTCGAGGAGCGCAGCGAGGCCTTCGACTTTGGCGTCGCCCTGCAGGAGGCCCAGAAGAGCCTGGGCCTGCTGGACGCGAGCCATGCCAAGCAGGCCGCCGAGAACAGCAAGCGCGCCGAGGAGGAGAAGACCAAGGACTACAGTCTGAAGGAGGGCGAGACCATCACCATCAATTTTGGCGGCTCCAAGCTCGGAAGGCGGTCGAGGGGGCCCTCGGCCGCGTCGTTGACGGGACCGCCTGACGGCGCGAGCTTGCAGGCTTTCTCGTTACCGCCGCCGCCTGCTGCGTCCAAGAGCAGCGGGAACGGAAGCTTCCTGCCGCCGCCGCCGAGTTCACAGAGCGTGCGGGACCAGAAGCGGGAGAAGAGGAAATCTGCGCAGGATCTGGGATTCGACGATGGACAGTTTGGAGAGTTCGCCTGAGGGGGGGCAGCTGCGATACAATAAAAGGGGGCGCATAGGAGGAAGGACTGATTTGAGCAAGAGATTCCCTGCGTCGTTTGCCTAGCTATTATACATGCGTCCATTGGCATGTTTTGAAAAAAAGCACCATATCAACAATTTCAACCAAGATTTTCTCCGCGCTGTGAGCATCATGACCTCGAGCCAGTCGTCAATTTTGTTGTTGTCCGGGCCAAAGACACCTCAGTGTCGGCAGACTCATCCTCCGTCCCCTCTTGTTCGCGATATCCGCTCCCGGGAGCTCTCTCGACGCCTCGTCAGCCGTTCGGGCATGGCTTTGGGGGGTGTCATAGCAGAATTGCAGGCCTTGATTTCCCAGTGCGTCGATCGGTGTCTCGTTCATCTCGTTGTTGGTCCACATTTCAGGTGGCGACGCCTCCGGCTCGTGACAAGGCACCATTTGCATCGGGCTGTAAATGGGATAGTATCCCTGCGGGAAGAAGACGGGTGAAGCGGCATCGAGTGGCGTGGAGACCGAGGCTAGGTCCGTTGGCGATGCCATGTAACCGGTCACGGGTGATTCCATGGCCCAGTAGCAATATCTTTGCTCGTAGATTTCGTGTTGAACCTGCATCCATCGTTCTCGGATGCTGAGCTCCGCATTGATATCACAGAGTCGGATGGAAATCGCTTTCTCCTGTGCGGCGGCTTCCGTGATCTTGCTCTTGATCAAGGCGGCTTTCTTTCGAGACCTTCGCCGCTCGTCGGATGGCAAGACGCTGTCCATCTGCTCATGCAAGATGGTGAGCCTTCTCATGAGCTCGAATGAGCGCTCGCCCTGGCCCCTGAGAGAAGCGTTGAGGTATGCCCTCTCGTTGTACAGTTGCTCGAAAGAGCCAGGAGACGTGAAGACCGACCAGGCCGGCTTGACTCTCGTGTTGAGTGATATGTTGTTGACTGGCATCGTTCGACCTCGCCTGACGTTGCTCCCACAAGAAGCTGTTTGGGAACTTGGATGTGCTGTGACAGAACCCTTGTGGCGGGGTAGGCAGCTATTGTGGCTTGGTGAATCTTCGGAAGATGTGGTTGACGCATCTTGACTCTGCACAGATCTGGGAGTGAAGACCGCTGCTTGGACGTGTTGTTCCATGACTGAGGCTGTAAACTGGTGATAGAGAAACGAGTAGACGTTCCGGAAGTCTGTTCGGCATTATCACTTCAGATATAGATGGGCGTTCCGCTGCAGAAATTCCCACTGTATCCAAAATTGACCAGATCGAAACAAAGGTGGATTTGCCTGCCCGCAAACTTAGTTGACGGTTTAGGATCATTCCTCTGATAAGGGACGGAAAGGCTCTCGTCCGATATTTCTCAATAAAGCAAAGAGCCAAAGGTGTCCAGATTTAGCTGTGTACGCAAAGGATGAGGAGGCGTTTTTGACGAGGGAACAAACTGGCTTGGCAGCCTACGCTTTAATTTGACGAGAGCTTCGAACAATGGAAACCCCGCATTGAACATGATCAGACGCGTGGTGCTCGGCACTCGGCAACGTTTGTTGGTTCCAACAACATGGTACAGGGTGGGAAACCTCGGACTTTGCTTGATACTCTTAGCCCATACCATCTGCAAAAGTCAGCGTCCGCTCGATGTTAAAGAGGCCCGTGGTTCTCGTAATAGTCCTTATGGTGGTATCAACGAGAACGCAAGTGTAACTGATCACGACTTCAAGGGAACCGACACACCTGAGGGTTGCCACGCGACGTCGGCATGGCTGCGGCACAGAAGCAACGAGCCTGGCATGATGGCACCAATTTCAGTTCGCCGCCGACTGCGAGGAGCCAAATGCCACCATGTTTCCTTCATGAGGTGCCAAGAAGCATGCTAGCGTTTGTCTTGTAATGCAAGGGGGTTCAGATGTTGAAACCATCATGGCGAGGCGGGTCACAGAATCGCCACAGACCAGCTGCTTCCGCCGCCTTCCGGACCGAGGAGATCTCATTGTCCGACACGGCTCGATTGATTTCACTGTATCGAATCTCCTCTCCACCAGACTCGGTGCTGGCGGCCCCGGCTTTGGGACGTCTCCTGGCCTTGCCAACGTGGGCATCTGGGTGATACTGCTCCATGATGTTGACAAAGCAATCCCTGGAAACCTCCTTGGCCAGGAATTCCATGATTTTGTGTCCCTCTGCTTCCTTCCCTGGCATGACCAGATGGCGTACAAGGAGGCCCTTCTTGGCGATGCCGTCGCCAGTAAAGCAAAGATCGCCAACCTGCGCGTGCATCGCCTTGATGCTCTCGCGCGCCGTGGCCGCATAGTCGTCTGCTTTCAGGAGACGCTTGGATGTGCTGGTTCCCCAGACCTTGAAGTCAGGGAGATAGATGTCGACCAAGCCATCGAGCAGCTCCAACGACTCGGGCGAATCGAAACTCGAGGTATTGTAGATGATAGGCACCTTCAAGCCTAGGTGCCTGGCATGCAGGATGCTCAACACAACCTGGGGAACCACGTGCTCCGGAGTGATGAGGTTGATGTTGTGGACGCGGCCGACCTGCTGCAGCTTGATGTACCACTCGCCCAGCTCCTCGGGTGTCAGGTCCTGGCCGTTGCGCTGGTGGGCAATGTCATGGTTCTGGCAAAAGACGCAGCGGAGATTGCAGCCGGAAAAGAATACCGCGCCACTTCCATTGTGCCCCTGGACGCATGGTTCTGTGACGGCTGGTCAGTGTGCGGCACCCTTGCTTTGGGACAGCTGCTTCCAGACCTTCACCGAAATGAGGCGCAATCACATTGACCTTTGTGTTATCGCCAATCAGACACATTCCCGTCGTCTCGAAACGGTTGACGCCGCATAGGCGCGGACAGAGATTGCATTTTGAGAGGTGATGGTACGCCTTGGAGCGCTTTTTGGATTCATCGATGGAGGACAACATCATGTACCGTGGTATGTAGTCATCGAGGAGGAAGGGTGGTGCGAGATGGAGGGATCGTCTGGGAGGCCATATGGCTCTCCTGGGAATCCCATTCTTTCTGGTAAGCGCTCTCGCCAACGCTTGCATCTTGCAAACTCGTTCGTATGAACTGAATGGAGAGCATGTGAGGAGTCTTGCGTCAGAGTCGAAGCTCGAGGTAGGAGATAGTCGGATTACATCAGGGAGCTTCCTATTGGCCCAATACCAATTTGAGTGGGGCGATGGCACCTTCACCTCGGTCAACGACGGCGGTATTCGCCTTCCTTCAACTCTCTGTACTTGAGAGTCAAAGTCCGAGGAAAGCTCCCTCCGGAGGCCAACTTTCATAAGTCTGTATTGAACTCTTGTTTTTCCGTCATAGCGTTTGAGTGACCATCGAATACGAGCAAAGGTCGAACAGGACAGTGATTGGTCCCGACCAACGGCCGCAAATGTATTGATCGACCTGGCATCCGTCGCACATCAGCGGCCCTTTCTTGGTGAGCCATTTCCCGAGCAAAGCGAACATATTTTGTTGATGGTTTTGGTGGAGTATCAAAGTCCGAGCAAGTTAGTGCCATCGGGACCATCCCTTCACACGGTCTCCCGACGGGCACTGTCACACCAAACATGATATCTAATTTGATCTCCTGTTTCCTGGCTTGTTTGCTGAATCTATGAACCCGTGCTCCCAGTCTCACATAAAATGTCTGCAGAGATTACACAGCACGACGAACGACCCATGAATTTCCTCCATAAGTTTTCTAGATTAGCAGGCAGACAGAAGAAGACATGATGTGAGATTCCCAGCGAGGGTGCAGCGGTCCAGAACCACGCTGGAAAGATGACTGTTCTTCATGACTCTCTACTGGCTTAGGCTGTATTCTGGAGCTTCATAATGTTTCTTTTACGTCCTCTTCTTGGAAACGGGCAAAAAGATTCGACTTAGCACGGCCTGGTTTCGATCCAGGGACCTTTGGGTTATGAGCCCACCGCTGCTACCACTGAGCTACCGTGCTTGCTGCTTGTTGAGGACAACTGATCATGATCAGAATGATAATTGCGGCATCAGGTTGTTGTGTGACTCACTTCTGGCAACCTCTACGGAGTGTGATTGGGATGAAGTTAGGTGAGGCCAAATGCTCCTCGGCGATACATCGGGTTGCTGACAAGCCTTGACTTGGGAAGAACTCGAAAGCATGTGAACTAGTCACTAATTCCTACTTCCCTCTGCAAACGGAAACTATTGCTTAGCTTATTGAGCTTAGTAAATCAGAGTTAGCTAGATGAACGGGAGACGGTCACCTACATCCAGGAAGTGACTCTTGAATCCTCAAGGTGCATTTACCCCTTTGAGCAGTCTACCCTGAGAACTCAATTCACAGTCTAACCTTCAAGTACTGACCTGATTATCTCTTCCATTAACAATACGTCCCGTAGCTCAGTCGGTAGAGCAGCAGTCTTATGTTATCCTTAGCCCTAGCGTAGTATCCTTAAGCTGTTGGTCGTCAGTTCGAGTCTGACCGGGGACAATTCTTTCTTCTCGTTTTTGCTCCTTTAAACATGTGATTTCTTTCTATCTTCTTGGCCTTCGCTATGGATCTTTCAGGCACACTGCCGACGGTTTATAGAGGACATGATTGCCATCCATTCCAACGTGAAGTGCGACCCGAAAGCATTTCTCCCTTCCTTGAGAGTGAGATCGCTCGTTCGGATTCCCCTGCGTTAGACCAGTCACAGCATCCTTCACCTGCTAAGCTTTGGCGAGAGCTCTCCATGCCAGCTGCATAGTAGCGTCTCATTCATAATAGCATAAAGCTTTAGCAACGGGGGTTAATCTTGAAGAATCTGCTGATCGGGTCATGCGATGCACAACTTAAGTAGCGAGCACAAGTCGCTCTGTTGGTTTTCTTTTCGCCAACAATGATGCTAGGGAGAATGCTTGGCTATTTATTTCGTAAATAACAGAGCAACCTGGGTGGTAGGTAGTGTTTAACCACACCTTACATCAATCAACAGGTGCTGATCGATCGGCATTTGCTTGTTTGCGGCTGTTTATGATCATCCGAGCTTGACAGCAGTCAGCGTCGCGTATTCATGACCAACGACCTGGCAAGCTTCGTCCCTGGTAGCGGATTCCGCCGGCATCATCACATGACCAACTCATAATTACCGTTGATGTATTTTTGTTTGCTTTGTCTCAACACGTATCCATGCACCCGCGTGTTTGTCTCAGTCAATTCTATATTATAGAGGGGTGGCGACCCGGAAAAGCAAGCAGGATCAGCGGGCTGAACCGACGCCCACGATGAAAATGGTCAGACGAAGAAAACGTTGCGAGCTAGAATCCACAGATATTTCCAGTATGTGTTCAGATCTTTTTGGATGTTGCTACTAAGAAGATTTATCGTGGGTCGACGGCCTTTCTGCAGCAGTCCTTCCATCTCGTAGTCATGCCATGTCTTGCCGAGCAAAGATGCTCAAGAGATTACCGTGGGGAAGGACCCTAAAAGTCGACGATTCGAATGAAAGAAAGCAGTCGAGCAGAAGTTCGAGTATATCTTATGGGAGCCCTCGAGGTGAGGATGGCTCACTGAAGGTGCGTCGGTGAGCAAGTGCTGCCTCACTCCTTCCACTCTTTCACACCGAGCGACGGTCTCAGACCCTCTTACACTCATTCACCTCTCTCACCCCACCAAGTCGACCTCTTTTTGTACGCCCTTCCAACACACAACATCAATAATCGGATTTGGAGGCTTTTTTGTTCTTCTTTATTGGAGGTATTATTTTGATTTCTTTGGGCGACTTGGGCGGCGTGCGAGATGCATCCTTTCAAAATTTTGTTCTGTTTCGCCCTCTCGCTGCTCCTTCCTTACTCGAGCGCCCTCCACATCACCAACCAGACCATTGATAAATTTCTTCTCGATGAGTACGACTACGTCGTTGTTGGTGGCGGCCTCTCCGGACTCGTGGTCGCAAACCGGCTCAGCGAGAATTCCGATGGTACTAACCCCTCTGCCAAATATGGGCCGTCACGCTGACCAGATACAGCGACTGTCCTCGTAATTGAGGCCGGTGACCTGTGAGTATTTTATTCTTAGACTGTTTCATCGCTCTTTTTTATTATAAAAAAAAGCTAACAATTCACCAGTGACCGCCGCGAGGGTCGAGTCATCATCCCGGGATACATTGGACGTACGCCCCCTTCCGGCTATGGTCAAGATGTCCTCACCGCGCCCCAGACTTTCTTGGACGGGAAGACTCGAGACATTAACCAGGGAAAAGTCGTCGGTGGCGGATCGGTCGTAAATGGAATGTGCTGGACCAGAGGCGCCGCTGCCGACTTCGACGCCTGGGAGGAGCTCGGCAACGACGGTTGGGGATGGGACGGCCTGCTACCATACTTCAAGAAGGTATGAAATCCTTGAACTGAGGTGGTGCCAAGATTCTGACGTACAACTTAGGTTGAGAAGTATTCCAATAACGTCGGCCAAGGCATTCGAGACGAGTTCAACATCAAGCCCAACATGTCTTTCCACGGAACGAACGGTCCCATCAACGTGGCGTACCCGGAGCATATCTACAACACATCCAGTAAATACTACCCAGGTTTGACATGACTTGAAGCTAATCGGAAACAGGCAGCGTTCTCCAAGGTCTTGCCGAGGTCGGTATCCATACATCCAACGACGTCAACTCGGGTGACCCGACCGGCGCTATGATCGTCGCCTCGAGCATGTCCCCCACAAACCAGACGAGATCCGATGCGAGAACTGGCTACTTCGACACTGCCAACGCGCGCTCCAACTTTCACGTTGTCACTGGCCACATGGCCACGCGGCTGATTGTAGGGTTGCCCGGCTCCCTGACCAACCAGGAAAGCCGCCGGATTATCGGCGTCGAGGTAAGTCGATGTCATGAGTTACAAATTGGCCCTACGAGTTCTGACCGTACAAGCTCTCAACTGGTCTGTCGGATATCAACAGAACCGTCACTGCGAACAAAGAAGTCATCCTGGCCGCCGGAGCCATCCAGTCGCCTGTTCTTCTTCAAGTCTCCGGCATTGGTCCTCGTCAAGTTTTGGAATCCTTGAATATTTCCACGCAGATCAATCTGCCCGGAGTTGGAAACAATTTTCAGGATCACCCCATGGCTAGATTCCCATATGATTGTGAGCACTCGGGAGCCTGCCGAATTTCAATCTGCTTCGATCTAACATGTTTACAGACTCTAATGCATCCCTCTTCACTTCTAATGATCTCAACGGCGACACACTCGAAGATGCGCTGGACCAGTTCTTGGCCAACAAGACGGGCAAGTCATGCGCTTCTTCATACAGACGTGAAGCTAACTTTCTCAGGTCCCTTGACAACACCTTTGATTAACACTGTCGCCTTCCCAGCGCTCAAGTACCATGCCGACGAATGGAGAACCCTTCTTGCCCATTCAAAGAACCAATCCTTCGACTTCCTTCCCCTCGACACTCCGTCCACTGTGGCAGCCGGCTACGCAAAGCAGAAATCCCTTGTACTGAACCATCTGGCTCGCGAAGACGTTGGCGCATATGAACTCCTCGCCGCATCGTGGGGTCAGATCTCCATCGCAAACCAGAAGCCCCTGTCTCGCGGCACCGTTCGGACATCCTCGTCCTCCGTCTACGACGCCCCCGTAGTTGACCCTCGCTACTGTGCGGACCCTCTCGACTGCAAAATCATCAGGCTCGGCCTCCAGCTCACGCAGAAGCTGATGGCCACAGACGCCATGAGGCCGCTCCTTCCAGTAGTCGACGCCAAGTACAACTCTACCGACGAGCGAGAGCTCATGACGGCGCTGAAGCCGCTGGTGGGCACTGAGTATCACCCTAGCGGCACGACGAGCATGTTGCCGAAGGAACTTGGCGGTGTTGCGGATTCTGAGTTGATGGTGTACGGGACTTGCAACCTGCGTGTTGTGGACGCCGGTATCATGCCGATGATCCCAGGCGGGCATATCCAGGCAGCGGTGTACGCAGTGGCGGAGAAGGCGGCGGATATCATCAAGGCCGCTGCAGATGGAGCCTCGTGCCCGATGGGACAGCCCCAGTGGCCTGTCGGACAAGGTCCTGTCGGCGGTGACGGACAGTCTGCCTGATTATCAGACGAATCATGGATAGACAGTGAACATCTCACTTAATTGCTTGTAGTATTATAATAATACCCATCCAGCCAGAAAGGCTGATTTTGTGTCTTACAAGAGGCTGCTTAACCATAGACTTGTTTTTCTGTTCATCATCACCATCGCCGTGCCCATCATCGTGCTCTTGAGTGTCGCCCTTTTCCCAGCCCGTTGTGAATCCTCACAGCATAACCGCCGCTTCACGCCACACGCATCAGGGGAAGCACAAACAACCCCACCACCCACCAACTCCACATCACAAAAGACAGCCGATCCGCCTCTGGCCCTTTGCAGCACCATATCCTCGCCGCCAAAAGGGCCCCGGAAAGCCACACCCACCCAGCCACGCGGACCTGCACGATGCCCCAAAACGCAGGACAAACGAGCGACCAAAACATGATGCCCACGCAGATGCCGAACCTCGTGAACGCGTCCCCGAGGATCACGGGGAAGGTGTGCCTCCCGCGCGCCTTGTCGCCCTCGTAGTCCTTCAGGTCCTGGACCTGGATCGTGGTGCCCACGACGAGGCCCAGCAGGCCCAGCCACGCGTACGCGCCCGGGAGGATCTCGGCCACGCCTGCGTCTGCGATGAGGATCTTGAGCGCCGCGACGCCGTAGACGGGGTACGCGAGCCCGTTGACGAGCTGGCGGATGAGGAAGTGCTCGTCGGCGCCGCCGAGGTCGTTGTAGTAGGAGCTCGCGCAGATGCAGGCCAGCGTCTCGGAGCCGACGCCGAGGCGGAAGCTGAGGGCGAGGGTGAGGGGCACGGCGGCGAGGAGGAGGTGTCTGGCTTGGGCGGCGGAGGTGCGGCCGGAGGGGATGGGGCGCCAGGGCTTGTTGAGCTTGTCCTCGAGGACGCCGGCCG